TTTAAATTTAATACTAATTCAACGAGAATGTCATAGAATTGTAGTGCGTTCAGTAAGAACTTTTATCGAACTCTATCCAGAGCGTCCTCGACTATCAGCGGATACTGTAAGACGTCTGGTTCAAAAATTGGAACAGTTTGGCACATTTAAATGCTATGCATCCAGAAGAAAAACTGCTGTTGATAACGAGCCAAATGAGATGACCACTTTAGCGTATTTCCGTGCATATTCTTATAATTCCATAAACGACGCGAAAATTGGGATTGGTTTGACACCAGCGACCATCAGGAGGATTCTTAAAAACATAAATTTAGACCATACTGTTTGCAACTAGTTCAACATTTGAAAGCAGCCGATTTCATGAAACGCATATCTTTCTGTGAGACTATTTTACCAAAAGAACAAGAAATTCCAAATTTTTTGAGTAATATTATATGGACGGACGAATTTCTAGAAAAAATTTATCTTGAACTTTTAAATACTGGAATTGAACCCAGAATAAATAATGTAGAGCGGGACATTTTATGGTACCAACAAGATGGTACAGCAATGCCGTTTCCACGTTTGCCCGCACAGCACCAATGCCGTTTCCATAAAACTTTACGAAATTTTTGAAGAACGTTTGTTTGTCAATGACGGTTCCTTTCAATGGCCACCTAGGTCACCTGACCTTACGCCCATGGATTTTTATCTTTGGGGTCGAATTAAAGATCTTGTTTATGCTACACAATTAACGACCAAGGAAGATTGCATTGAAAGGGTGCGAAATGCCTTCAACTCTCTTTCCCTGAAGAGATTCAAAGAGCTACAAATGAAGCTATTACAAGGCGTGTTCAACAATGCCTTGCATCTAACGGACAACATTTTGAACATTTATTGTAATTGAAAATTGAACAAATAATAAATAAGTAATAAAAAATTATAGTTTATTGAAAATAACTATGAAACTGTTACGTTTAGCCTCATTAACCTTTTTAGAAACTTGCCTTAATTTTCGTCACTAAATCGATCTGAATAGAAAAAAATAGGGGTTTTCTTTTGAATTTTTTGGGTAATAAGCCTTTTTTGACAGTCAAGTTTAATTTTCGATAACTTCTTTTTTATAAGAGATGCAAAACTCATTTTTTGCACATTGAGACATAGCACCTTTGGCTACAACAAGCTAAAGTTACATTCAAATTGATTGACCTAAATCGGCAGAACAACGAATTATTTCCAAGCCTGCACCAGTCAATTTTTTTGGAAAAATGGATATTGTTTCACAACGGTTGAAATTTCGTACCCAGTTCATTTAACAAAATGACCGAAAAATCCGACAGAGAACCCAAAAATTTAATTATATGCATGGTATTCCATTTAAAATAAGCGAGTAAGTACCTACTTCCGGTATAACCAGAAGTGGTACCGCCTTGAAATTATTTTAGATTAGTTAGCCCCAACATCATTRCCTTGTATAGAAAGTTTCAGAACTCTGGTAGTTTYTGTTTTGCGAATACTTCTAGTGTACCCTCCCAAAGACGGACCCTGTATRTGRTATATTTATTTGCATGTTAAATTCCGTCTTTAGAGCCCCAAATATGACCCSACTTTTTATAATTTTTTTRAACGTTCCTTATAAATTTAYCGTGCTTTATACAGAATTTTGCAATAGGATAATGTTTAACTGAAGAAAATCGGTTAAAKAAACACAGCAAGGACAGAATAATGTGCATGTTAAGCGAGTRKAGTTTGCRRAATTMTTAAATTATYTCGAATTTTTGTTGCATTTTTATTTTCATTTATTAATTGAAGTGCGCTTTATATATAATGTTTCAATAAAGATGATGTTTAACCGAAGAAAATCAGTTTGAAAGAGAGAAACACAGTAGAGACAGAAAAATCTGCATGTTAAGCGAGTATAGTTTGGGAATTCTTAACTCGTTATTTTTTTTTCGGAAAATTGTTTTATTTGAGCTCTTTTTATATATAATTTAATAACCATGATGTTTAATTWAAAAAAGTCGGATTAGAACGAAGAAACGCGCTAAAGACAGAATAATCTGCATGTTAAAGTCGAATTTGCAAAATTCTTTATTCTTATTTTTGGYATTTTTTTGCAAAATTATCAATCGAAGCGCGCTTTCTTTATACAGAATTTTTCAATAACGGTCATGTTCATCTGAAGATAAGCGGTTTCAAACGAAGAAACGTGCTGTTTTTTTAAGACGCAAAATAATCTGCATATCGAAGGAGTGGAATTTGCAAAATTCTTCATTTTGTTTCCATTTTTTTGCAAATTTATCATTTAAATTGCATAACATTTTTCAAAAAAAACTGAAGTTGAACGTTTTACTGAAGAAAACGGGCTGTTTTCTTTAGAGACAGAAAATAATGTGTCCCTTCAGCAGGTGGAGTTTCCAAAATTCTTCATTCTTTAATTTTTTTTGCATTCTTTGCACAAATGTATCATTTGAAGTGTGCTTTATAAAGTACAAATAAAGCAGTTTGAAACGATGAAACAAACAGAAGGACGTTTCTTTTAAAGACAGAATAATCTACATCTTCAGTAAAAGAAATTAGCCAATGGTTTGCTCATTCAAGTTTTTTTACAGGTTTGTACGAATCAATCAATCAAAAACGATAATCTGCAATTGGAAAAACCCGGTTTTAAGCAAAGAAACAAATCTGCGTCTTGAGCATATGAAGTTTGCAAAAAAATCTGTTTTGAAGGAAAACGCGCTACTTCTTTTCGTGACTAACTTCAACTGACATCTTCAGCAAGTCGGGTTTGTAAAATTATTCATTTTCAAAATTTTCTTTAATGGTTTTTGCAAATCAAAAACCCACCAGATATCAAATTTTCCAAAAGCGATAATGTTTATTTGAATTAACCCGGTTTGAATAGAAACAGACGCTCTGTTTTTAACAGAATAATCTGCATCTTCAGCAAGTAGCGGATTTATTCAAAGAAACGCATTGTTTTGATTAAAAACAAAATAATCTGCCTCTTGAGCAAGTGGACTTTTAAAATTCTTCACTTTTTAGTTTTTTTCACGTGTTTCTCGCAAATTTATTTAATGAAAAGCGCTYAATACCGATTTTKTAATGACGAAAATCTGCATCTGAAAACACCCGGTTTGACAAAAAACGCTTTGTCTTTGGCAGAATAATCTGCTTCTTGTGGACTTTTCAAAATCATTTGCCTTTTTTTCACGTTTTTCTCTCCAATTTATTAGCCAAAACGCGCTTGTTATAATATTTTTKTCAATAACWATAATATGCATGTGATTAAGCCCTCTTTTAAGCAAAGAAACGSACTACTTCTTTAAACAACAGAATAATCCGCTTTTTGAGCGATTGGAGTTGGTCAAATATAGGGTGGTTTTTTAGTGCGATAGAGTACATTACTTCCGATGGTGTTGAACTTTCGAAAAATAGTTTCATATAAAAGTAGTTGACGCACAAAGTGCGCACATTTAAAAAATATCTTATATGATACAGAGTGTCTCAGAAAAGCGAGGCAAGATCAAAGTGTATTTTTTTAAATAGAACTACCCATTTTTTATTAGCTCATGAAATACAGCTTGAAACGCTGCATATTCACCGTAAATTGTTTTTTCTTACTTGCGACGTTCGCAGATTATCGCCATTTTAGTAAAATTTTGCTTAAAACCATGGTATCTAAAAATTAATTGTAGAACCAAAAGAAAGCAGTTCGAGATGCAAAAAAACACGTCTTTCCAATCACCAAAGATCCGTTAAGAATTCTATTGAACCAAAATATTAATACATTGTACAGGATGTTAACAATGTGGACTTCAATCTAAAACTTTTTAACGCAATATAACTTTTGTTTTTCAAATGGAAGTACCTGTATAGTATTAATACGTCATTAGATAAACAATTTACAAAGTTACAAATTTGCATTTACACTTTAAGCTGTGAAATCAACCGCTTTCAAATTATAATTTATTTTATTGAAAAATTTCAAAAAGTTGCTACATTTTGTAAGGTGGCTATGAAAGTCAATAAATAAGTGTCTCGGACTCTATCGCACTAAAAAACCACCCTGTATGTCATTGAAATTTGTTTTACGTTTTCCTCCAAACTTGTTAATATAAGCGCGCTCGAAACCAAATTTATCCCATAACGATAATATTAATTTGAAGAAACCCGCTTTGAATCAGAAAACGCTCTGCTACCTTTAAAAACAGAATAATTTGCATCTTCAGCAAGTAGAGTTTGTAAAATTCTGTTGATGTTATCATTCATGAAAACAATAAGGAAAAAAATGTTTTGCAGACCAATGATATGCATTGTCCATTGTCAGCCACTAAATTCGGCTCGAAAACAGGGTGACCAGATGTGGCGATTTTTTGCTTATGTTGGCGACAATGTTTTTTGAATAGGCGACTGGCGATTTTTTTGGTCCCTTCTTTTGGTTTTGTGATTTTGGAGTGTTCTATTAGCCAGATAAAAAAATAGCAGTATAAGCTTAAAGATATCAACGCTAGTATCTGAAAGCTGAAGCTTGAATTATAATCCGAAGCATATTCGAACCTTATACTTAAACCCTTCGGGTAAGTAAATGATATATGATTTTAGATAATCGAATAATCGAGAGATATACCCGCTAAAAGATATGTTTATCACGTTATTTAAGACAAATTCTTTCAATTCCTCTTTAGGGATAAAGATGCATTTCTATGCACATAATATATGCTGTTAGAATTTTATCATATATTATATATGCTGTTAGAATCATATTGCTGCCCAGGTAGCATACTACGTCTTATGGACGTCTAAACGACGACATGAGATTCGGCCAGAATACGTCAGATAGCTGATCATTTGGACGTCCAAATGACCGCTACATGACACATCTGCCAGACGTATGTTTAATGACGTCGGCTAGACGTCTGCTTATTGACGTCACTTAAACGTCGGTTTTAGGGGTCTGTACATGGTCAGCACAATTAATTCATATTGAGGGAATGTTTTGGTTACAATAAGACACTATAGAATCTTAAATCGTATTTTATTGACAGGAAGGAAGCAAATATGGTTACAATTTTAATTAATTAAAAGTAGTTCTGACCAGCCACAAAATTAATTATAAAAAAGCGGAGGACAGATAAAAAAACTACTATTCCTACGAACCCGTAAGAATAGTGGGTGCCCAAAAGGCCTCCAATTGCTGTCAGCTTGGACTCCGTGAGTAAGAGCCTTTCTACACGCTTTCCTCTCCTTAATCGGAGGCCACAGTACCTCTTGCTTGAGTGCTTGAGTGGTGTGCGCCAGTTCTGCCAGAGTTCCAGAGTACTGCCCGCTAGTTCGTCTAACTGTACCACCTGATGCATTACAAGTATATCACAGTTTCACACCTGATAATTGGAACGTAATACTATTTATATAACATTGACAATTAAAAACCTGTGTTCTATTCTTTTATAACAAAATCATGCTTTTTGTTCTTCAAAAGTTGGGTTACTTTTGTGGCTCCAAAACCAGCCAGATCTTGTTTTTAAAAAGAAAGTTGGGACGCAAACAACGGTATATACCTACATATACGTATATTCGGAATTCGGAATATACGTATTGTCTCGGCACATGGTTCTGAATAGACCACACACTGTTACTTATAAGCATTCCACTATTTATCCCAGACCACAATATAAAAGCTAGGTACAACTATAAATACAATGTATAAATAAGTGGTACTTACCTTTGTGTTAAAAGTTTCGTATAATAATGAACTAACAGCCCATTAACAAATCACATGAAACAAGACAAGTACAAAGTACAAGTTCGGAATACCAGTCACGCCAAAGTGCCGGGGTTCCGCGTTTTTAACCTAACTAAAATCCAATAAACTTGGCGCGAACAAATTGACAAGAAGTACATATAGAATGACATAATAGACAATCACACCATTAATTTTACCTTAGACAGAGGGACAGACGAGATTTATTCTTAATTTTTCTAATCATAGAGATTGATTGTAATTTATCTAATCTTTAAAGATTGTATTTTATATTATCAAATAAAGCATGTTGGTCTTCCTGGTTTATTCCTTTCGCTTTTGCTTTTGGAAACAAGAAATAAATGAATTTTGTGTCCTGACTATAGAGTGTTGGGAGCATTCATCCTAATGCAATTGTGACAGACAGGCAATTAAAAAATAAATTACTAAAAATTTAAAATTATTATAAAGAGACATTTAAAGTTAGATAAAAAAATTCTCCAAATAAGACGCGACGTCATTTAATGAACATAAGGACGTCTGAAATAAAGCTTATTTTAGTGACCATTTTAGTTAAAAATTGACCACCCTTGGCGGTCTATTGGACGTCCATATACAGGGTGGTTTTTTTTTATTTTAGAGGAAAAACCGTTTCAAATAAGAAGTTAATATCTGGGAGGGGGAAGTTTATTCGTGTCAGAAAAACAACGCCTACTGCTACCTTGTAGGCTAGGCAAGGGCCAACTTGAGAATTTCAAAGGGTAACCACAACATTTTATTGGAGATTCGAATGGTACGTCAAAAACTGAGACTAATCTATCCAAAATATTTTCTTCTATTTTGACCGGTGGCGCTGCAATTCATCAATTATCTTTTTTTTTGCTTCAGATCTGCTAAACTATCTATTATTAAATTGAAGCGCTGAAAATTTTAGTGTGACCAATAACATCTATTAATGCCAGAGGAATATTCGGTCTGAAAATTGTTTGAGGATGAAAATCAAATATGTACCTCCAAATCAACAAAACATCTATGTGTTTATTAGAAGTATAGCATCCGTAGTTTGAAAATTCGCATTGTCAATACGTGACATTTCGAAATGTATTTTGAATATGAAGCTGTCAAAGTCATTTAAAATTTCCCTCAGCTCGATGTAGGAGCGCTGATAAAAGCGTAGAAATTTCAAATTGTTGACTTTGACATTTATTAATTTCGTTCTGAGTTAGAACCACCATTCGACTTTGATTTAAATATGCTACTATAATTTTTTATATGGGCGCATTAACTGTGCAAAAAAAAATTAAAATTATTTTTGTATACGGAGAAGCCGGCCGATATACTTTCAATAAACAAACAGATGTTTTGTTGATTTGGAGGTACATATCTGATTTTCATCATCAAACAATTTTTGGACTGAATATTCTTCTGACATTACTAGATGCTACTGGTCACCCTAAAATTTCAAGCGTTTCAATAAAATAATAGTTCAGCAGTTCTAACGCAAAAAATTTATAATTGATGGATTACAGCGCCACGTGTAAAAATCGAAGAAAATATTCTTAGTTTTTGACGTACTATTCGAATCTCCAATAAAATGTTGTGGTTTCCATTTGAAATTCTCAAGTTGGCCCCTGCCTAGCCTACAAGGTCGAAGTAGGCGTTGTTTTTCTGACATGAATAAACTTCCCCCTCCCAAATATTAACTTGTTATTTGAAACATTTTTTCTTCGGGTCACTCATTTTAAAAATATTTAAGCGTTTCAAGATAAAAAAACCACCCTGTATATCTGACTAATAGACGTCCTGTATATCTGACTAATAGTAGAAGTATTGACGTCTTTCAGACGTCTTTTCTAAGTCAATTGACGTACTAACCAAAGATGACTTAATGTGGACGCCTCGCAGACGTCTAATTGGTCAGTTGTGCTACCTGGGTGATATGATTAAAGATTTTACATCAAACGTAATGACAAATCAAGAACGAAAAACTGATAGTAAAGTCAAAGCCATTGACTTAGAGCATGAACAAGAAGAAACTGAAATGTTCCACCTACTTAGAGAATTTCATGTTCCTTGCATTAGTATAAGTGAAAATTACTAGATTTTTTAAAATAGTATATTTGTCTCCGTAATATATTTTAGACACACAAGTATACATATACAGGGTGATTCAAAATTGGCGTCATTCCTCAGGAGGTAAATAAACTTGCAAAGTGATATTATTTTAAAAGCGGATAGTGATAATAAAATGTTTTGGAACTTAGTCGATGAAAATAAGTATCCTAGTTTGAGAAAATGTGCGCTAAAAATTTATTTATATAGTGCAACAACATACAATTGCGAGTCGTTGTTCTCAAATATGAAATATTTTAAATCAAAATACCGAACAAAGCTTAATGACTTACATTTAGTTAATTGTTTAAGGACCGGGAACTCTAAATATATCCCTAATTATAAGAAATTAGCTGAAAATATGGACACTCAAGTTTCAATCTGAATTATATGTATCATTATACAGGGTGATTCAAAATTGGCGTCATTCCTCTGGAGGTGTTGCCTGGCGCTGTTATAGGAGTACAGAAAAAATAGTAAAAAAAATTAATTGTTATTAAAAACTGAGAAATTTGGAAAACGTTATATCAGAGATACGGCAGCAATGTTTTTCAATATAATCTGCCTAATTAACATTGCGCAAATACCTGTTGCTTCGTTATTATTTCAAACTCCGGTAACCATGGAATTATCCAGAGTAATGTAGTACTTTCGAAATGTCACCCTGTTCTCATAACCTCGAATATTGGTGTTTATAAATCAACCATACAACACCAAACATTTGAATGGTTAACTCCAAACAAGCTAGTGCCTGTGTGATCTCCTTATGATCCACTCTTATCAAGCAGCTTCTGGTATTCAGTTAATTAACTCCTGCTCCATTTGTACATGTGTGTGCTCCTTGTGCTCTGTGTATCGTACAAACGTGGTAGGAATGTAACCCTTCCTCAGTATTTATTTGGTGCTTGGGAAAGTGTCAGTTATTGTGCTCTGAGTGCCCCTGCAAGGGCCTGATTCCGATTATGTCCAATACTTGTTCCTCTGTGCCTGGAACCCGAACATCTATTGCCGTCCACTATCTTCATGGAACCACTCTCCTCGCCGTTTGTTGGCGTGAGTTCTTTAAGCTTCTGCCATGTTACTGTAGCATTTTTCCTATCGCTAATTCGTGAATTTAGCTAATCGCAAATTCGTGAAAGGAAATTCAAGGTAAGTCACAGTTTGACAAATTATTGTTATTATTGACAAGGACGATTCACCTGTAACTATCTGTTAATGACAGAAAACATCATTGCCGCTGTGCCTTGTTATCAAAAAATTGTAGAAGAGAACTTTTTTGATATCAAAAATTTTCGTAATTTGAAGCAAAGGTCGTAATTTTTATTTTTCAATGCTTAAGTGTTCCAATATGCTACCAATTAAACATGAAACAATTTCAAAATAATGCTTAATAACAAAGTTGAAATTCGTTCTTCAACTGTTGATATCTTCCAGAAATATTCCAAAAAATTTGTTAATATTTTTCTCGTACTCCCCAAGGAAGCCTCTATCCTCACCTCACCCTGTATAATTTCAGTTCAACTTGTAAAAAATAAAGTACTTGTTTAATTTAAACCGTTCCGCTTTGCTTCTATTGGTTTACCCCGTTTGAATTTACTTGCGATTTTTTAGTCTACGTTTGGCGATTTTTGACGGATATTCGTCCGCTAGTTGGCGAAATCGCCATTTCTCAGTCAGGTCACCCTGCTCGAAAAGCGAAAGCGTACTGCAAAGCAACAAGAACAATTTGAAAGCAGTTAGTGCAAACGTGCATAAACAACCGACTATAACAGTCTAGACCAAAAAAAAGTAGGACAGCACAGCCTTGCCTAACGCAAAATCTCTAAGCCGCCGCTCCTGACCCACGCCAATAACCAAATTCGCCAGCAGAACGAACAATAATTCCGATTCCGCAATGGCCGTTGCACGACCTTAGGAACATCGCCTATGACACCCCACGATATTCGCATATCTACGTATTGTACGCATTAAGATCCCGAGCCAAGGGCAATTTCAATTAGAGCATCGCGTCCGAACAGATCGAGCGTTTTTCTCGAAAAAAACCCGTATCGAACGCTAAACAACAAACCCATTAATCGGGACAAAAACAACTTTTCGAGCCACGAGGCGGTCGCCGTAGTCACTCGCCGCCACGTGCCGACTTCCACGAGCCGCAAAACTCTGGGACAGGTCACGGTAGGCGAGCCGGGGGCGGCGCGGCGGCGGCGGAACGCTCCACGAGAGATCTCGGCCGCGTCCGCCACCTCGTTCGGCACCGCTAGTAAACATTTAGTCAGATTTTGGCCATTGCAAGTGTGGTTCAAACTTTTCAAACTTCTCGCTTGCCTTTCAAAAGCCAAACATCCCAACCAACAATCAAAGTTCCCATCAATCAAAGCGCATCAATCAAACGGTTCTCAGTCTGATTCGCATTCGTCCGGGTCGCGTTCAAACCATTTTGGATGATTCAGGACGTTGCGGCTCCAACCGTCCCGAAACCAACCCCCCAGAATTAATTGTAAGTATTTTTGTTTTTTTTGGTTTTATTTTTAATCAGTTTTTTCACACGTTTTTAAACCCGTTTTGCAATTTCGACGAGCGTCAGCCAGTGGGCATGCAACTTTCAAGGGTCAATTTTGACCTCTAACTTTCTGGGCCAACGGAAAAAGTTGGCAACGATCGGTTTTTTGCAAAATGCAGGCCCAAAATCAGTTGGCAATCACCGACCCAGTTGCTTCATTGATGATTATTCAGGAATTTTTTTTCGGTCAGTTCCTTTTCCATAAGCCGATAGTAGCCCTTGGCGCAGCCTTCAAATCGCGGGCCGCGAAAACGCAACCTGACTCAACTGTTCCCATGCGAGCAAATCAGCCCCTTAACCGAAATACACTTTCGCAGAAAACAAGGTGATTTTAGATCACTGGAAATCAAATTGCATTCAGCCACATAACAATAATAGTAGTTTGCAAATTGCAGATAAAGATTTCATGGAAATTAAGCGGCGCCACGTTGCCAGATTCACGACATTCAGTTCGGCGATATTTTATTGAAGTCACTTTTTTTTTCAAAACAGCAACAAAATATGTTGCGTTCATCTATGCGGGGTGTTACAATAGGCCTGGGTAACACTGTTGATTTGCGCTGTTGAGTTGTTGCGCCTCTCTGAGTCAGCGAGTTATAACTCATAGGTTAATGAGTTATAAGTGATTTATTGAAGCTTTACGAGACCCGAGACTGGAATTTTCACATCTAAAAACAAGTTGATTAACATTTTTCCTTAGTAACGTTTTACTAATTTGTTCAAGCAACTAATAAAGAACCATCTAGATTTTCCCAGCAACAGAACTGAGTCCAAAGAAAGTCGACGAGTTTTTTTGTAAAATCGATATTTTAATTTTTTGCATAAAAAAATCATTTTTATGCGCGGTTTTTCTGTTTAGAGACAGTGTTATTTAAATATTGACCTAAAAGTGAAGAAACCCCAGTTTCCAAGAGTTTTCCAAATAAATGATTATAAACTTTCGCTTTTTCAATATTTTAAGTACAACCAAAAAATCATGCGATTTTGCGTAGAAAGGCTTGCTTAATAGAAACATTGTTAACACTGGAATGACCTGACAATTTAAGGAACTTTAAAAATCTTCAGAGCGATGAGCGATGGGCGGCGAATTTTACAAATAATATTTTGTAAACTTTTGCTCGTCGTTTTTTTAAGATAATCCCAATTACTTTCCGCTAAAAACTGAATAAAGTTATTTGGTTTTTTTGCCAACTTCGAAGCTGAAATGGGGTTTCTAAAGTTCGCTGCAAACCCATGAACGAGGCCAATTTTCTAGTCAAATTAATTTTGTCATTTTTGGCTGAAAAGACCCTATTATTGTCAAAAAAGAATAAAATCATCAGAAAATAATGTTTCTTTGCGTTTTCGATTAACAACATTTAGTTTTGTGATCCGTTTTGGAGAAAATCTTAATGGATTTCGGGGAAAAAGGGGAGGAACTTATTTTTGTTTTTGTCCCGAATTCGACGCTGAAAAGTTTTTGTAACATTTTTACAAAGCTATGAGTTTTTCTTGTAATTTTTTGCGTTTTTGCGACCTCCATATCGTCAGTATTTTTAAGTGAAATTACAAAATAGAGGGTTTTTAGTAGAAAGTTAAGCAAAAAAAATTCAGTCAAAACTAAAAAAACACATTTTTTTTAAGTCTACAATCTTCAGAGAAACTTTCGAGAATTCTGTTCATTTTTTTGATATAAAATTATTTGATTTTTCTTCAAAATTCGAAGCTGGAAAGGGATTTCAAAACGTTTTACAAAGCGACGAAGGACTCGAAATTTATTTCATAATTTTTCGGGGAAAATACCTTAAGATTGTCAGCATTTTTAAGTGACACTTTAGAAAGYTGARCATTTAGAAGACAAATTAACTTGGCTAAAACTGTAAAMTTCTGAAAAAAWTTAAAAAATATTATTAATAAAGAGCCCTTAAAAGAAATCTAAAAACGAGTAAAAAAACGCATCAACATTTTCCCGGCAACGGAACTGAGTTACTGCGCCGGTGCTTTGGGTTGGCGCAACAATCCCCACAAAGAACCGAGATTTTTGCAAAAAACCTGAGCAGGAATTTGACAACAATGTTTTTACTTTTATTAGTCCACAAGGCTCAATGCCTCAAAGTTTGGTTTTTCAATAATCAGGAAAAAAGCCACCACTTGAAGCAAAACCTTCGTGCCTTAGCATGCATGCTTTCTTCGATTCCTGGTAGTGGGGTTTCAACTGTTTTGAGTACCTAAGCTGGTTTCGTTCGAAAAATTACATTTACATCTTCCCTTTTTCTCGACTGTTGCAAATGAAGTGTGCCATGTAAAATATAAAATAGAACAGCGATCTCCAGTATTTTTCACTTTTCAAAACTTATCGAGAAAATCGAAAAATTCTCTTCGAAGAGCTGCATAACGAAAACAGTTGTTTACTGAACGATTCCATTTAATTCATTCGCCCACATTGACTTGCATCAGTTGTCAAATCACCGCCCGATTTGTCATTTGGACTGATGCTGATCAGTGTTTGCTTTTAGTTGAGACATTCTTCAGAGAACAAAATACATTTTCCGAAAACTTGCTACACCAACTGAGTAGTTTTCTCCTAAGGACCAGAACAGCGATCTCCAATTTGTCTACTTTTCAAAAATTATCCAGAGAATCAAAAAATGATCTTCTGCTGCATAATTAATTTCATTCATTCGCCCACAATGATATACGACAGTTGTCAAATCGCTCCTCAATTTGACGTCTAGGGCCAAATGTCAACGATGCATTATTTGGACTGATGCTGACCTTCCTTCTTCAGTGTTTTTTTTTAAGTTAAGACATTTTTTAGGGAAAAAAACATTTTCCGATTGCTTGCTTATCAACTGAGTAGTTTTTTCTAGAAGACCAGAACTATGATCTATATAGCAATATTTTCCACTTTTCGATTATTATTATTAGATTATCCGGAGAATAAATAAATAAAAACTGAATAAAAATCCTTCTTTAAGCAGCGTAATGAAGCATATTGAAGGCGTTTGCTTATTGAGCGATTCATTCATTCGTCCACAATGACATACGTCAGTCGTCAAATCAGCGCCCAATTTGACGTTTAAAGTTAAGTGCCAACTGATACACAGATTTTGCCAGTAAACTACAAAGCAAACGGCAAAGCTTGGATGATATTGGGCATTTTTAGAACTGAATTGCGGCAATGGGCGGAGAAACTAAAGCTTAAAAACAGAGAAATTGTGCTTCTAGTCGACAACTGTCCCGCGCAATGATGTTAAATTAGAACAAATGAAGTTGGTTTTTATGCCACCGAATACAAGTGCGAAGCTCCAACCTATGGATCAAGGAGTAATACATTCGCTAAAATTTCATTATAGGAAAATTCTTCTTATGAAAATGTCAGGCGGTCGATAAAAATGAAACTTTTTCTATACATCTCTTAGATGCAGTCAATTTCATTCATTACAAATTGCTTGGAGCATGGTGGATTTGTAAGAAAAAAAATGATTATGAACCAAACGATGAAATTCCACTTAACGAATGGTTAGAAAAGTATAAAGACTGACTACGAGTATGACACAGACGAAGATGTCCCAATGTTGTCGAAGAACAAGTTAAAACAAATTGAGTGATTTCAATTTCTTCGAATATGTGAGCATTGATAATGGCATTCTTACAAGCGAAATGTTGACCGATGAGCAAATTATGGACTCCGTAACCTCATCTACAGCTTTAAGCGATAATGAGAAAGATGACGATTTAGGTGAAACGTGTTCTACTGTAGACGCTAATGCTGTTCCAACCATGTCTGAAATGACAAAAAAAGTGTCAGAATCTCGTAATTTTCTGCAATCACGCCAAGTTTCTAATCATATCTGGGAGTCCTTTTGTGATCTTGAAAACTATATAACTAACATCTATTTTTGCAGCAGAAATGTACATAAAAAAATTACAGACTTTATGAAGTAGATTTCAAATTGTGTTCAGTTTATCTTTTTGTGATCTTTTTAGTTATACCTCTCTATGTAAAAATTACAAAATAAAATAGACCACGTGTTTTTGTATTATTGTCGGCAGAGCCCCGGGGCTCCGCGGAGCACACTTTGAGTAACGCTGATCCAGAAAATCAAAAAAATCCTCGTTAAGAGCAGCGTAATGAAGGCATTTGTTCACCGGTGCTTCAAAAATGGCATACGTCAGGTGTCAACTTGTCGTTTTAGATCCAACTGTCAGCTTGTCGTTTAGATCCAACTGTCAACTGATGCTGACCTTCCCTGATGCCACATGGCAGATTTTCGGAATTTGCGAGCGCATGGCAACATTGTAAATGGTGCGGGCATGAGGAGGCGAGGGGCAGCCCACGACCTACGTCTCGTATCGGGTTGTCGAGGTCGGCGCTCGATGAAAAAATCAGCCAAGGCGGCCACGTGGAGGCGACTGACTACGGCGAAGAACGCGTGGCGCGTTGCATTGAAAATTCGTATCCCGGGTCGATGCGGTCATCAAAAACCCATAGTGCGGCGCCTCAGCGGATGCATGGAAGGCGCGTGGAGCGGTTGTTTTCGATTCCACCACGGGCGTCGGCCGTACCAAAATATTCCTTATCCGTTGCCTTGTTTTCGCATTTAATGTGCGCTCGGGCTCGGCCTAATCTCGCTGCAGTTGAGCACGATAAGCGATAACGAAGCTTTGTTTTTTTTCAATTTTTTCGTTTAAGTCTGGCAACATTCTGGCTGCAATTGGGGCCCTCTTCGCACCAGCGCCAAAGTCCCAATCAGCTTTTTGCGCTCGGTACACCACCATCAATACCGGCATCGATAATAAAGATGGACTCGGTGAAATAAACGAAAGAGGGGACCGTCTTATACAGTTCTGCCAGGATCATAACTTACTACTCAGTAACACCATATTCAAGCTCACACCCCCCTCGCAGAATCTACACGTGGAAATCGCCAGCAGACTGCGGAAAAAATAGTTAG